AAAAAAAAACAAAACCAAACCAAGCCTGTAAAAAACGTGACGACGATGAAGAAGAGTGGATCAACGAACCTGGAGAAGATAACGATGGTACCCTTGTTCGTGTTTTGAATAGTTCTGTACCTGCGCCTGGCGTAGCATCGGGCCCAACACTGAAAGGAATGGGAGACGTCGGAACGCTCGTAGCGAAGCTAGAAGCGGTGGCGAGCTGTAAAAACACTGCTTTGTTGGTAAGCGAGACCCAGCCATCAATTGTTATCGCTGTCAAAGGATGACAAAGAGTGAGCGGCAGATATCAGTGATGACGGCGTTGGGAATGGCAGTGGCGTTTATGTTGGCTATGGACAGCATAACTAACCATATTCTCACCCGTCGTCGATAACGCATTCTTACTCTGCGCAACAGAATTGCAGACTGAGTCAGGCAAGTCTGTTCCTCCCTCATCCGACTCCTCGTCCGTGAGCTCTCCAAAGTCCGAACCTTCTTCACAGCTATTGTCGTCAGTGTCTTCGCGGTCCTCCGGGACGTACAAGTCCTCATCCGGATTCAGGTACGTATATGTCTTAGCTCCACTCCTCATCAAATTTGCATCACCATCAATGACACATGGAGGTGGCATCTGTAGTACCTACCCTCCGGCTCACCATCCGAGCTACTGCAACTACCGTCGCCAGCGCTCTGCAAGAGTGCTTGCGTGGGTTCGGACATGAATGGGCCCGTCGGGTGCTTCTCCTATCGCAGCAGTCATAGCCAAATCCGCGATCACAGCCGCTGCTTCGTTCTCGGCCGTTGTCTCCTCTGCGTCGCAACTGATGTCCTTCGCCTCCTCCGCGTGGCTCGCACTGTCTTTCGCTTCCTTGATGTTGCTCGCACTGCTTTTTTGCTTCTGCCATTCTCTCCCGCGTTCCCTGTAGCCCTCACGTCATAAGCGTCTCAACTTTGGATTCTGCTATCTCCATGGACGGTGTGGTCAGCTTGGATGCTTTCTTCCTTGATTTCTTTGGTTTGTTCTTCCCGACGTCCTTCCCCTCCGCTCGGCAGAAACCACGCGCGTGTCAATCGCTAAATTGCGTCTGCAAGCAGAGACGCCGCTCTTATTTCGTGAACTCGTCGCGTGTCGTCTTGCCCGTGCCGCCCACCATCTCTCTCTCAGACGGCGTTTCTGAAAACGAGCTGTCTGAAGACCACCCGTTTGGTGATGGGTGGCAACTCCACTTTTTATCACTTTCAACCAAATCGTACTGGAATGGAAACCTAAGCCTGTGCCCTTTGGCTTTTTAGTCTGTCCCGTTATCTTGATTTTAGTATAGCAAGATATTGATAGTGCACCAGTACAATTTTCTAGTCGCTTATGTTGTACCACACAACATAACAAAAATACTGCGTAAAAAGTAATCGATTCTATACACCTCTTATGTTCTACGGTACAACATATGGGAACTAAGGGGTTAATATTTTACCCATCTCAGCCTTAACATTAACGAATCCCTAGTTATTAGTATAACCCCTTTCAGTTTCAACATACATTCCAACTAGCCAAGCGCTAGTAAGTGTTTAATTGAAGGTGTTACGCTCGAGCTTCGCACTCGCTACCCTCTAAGAAGCCCGTTGGCCTCGCGCTCGCACTGTTTTAAAGTAGGCCGCTAATTAGTTAAGACTCTTACAGTCGGTACTAACTGACAACAGCACGGGCTGTATTGGTAGGTTAGCTTAGCTCTTTACTGGTCAAATAGCGGAATAATTTCTTAATGTGAACGGTACAAAGATGCTTAGGCTTGTTTTCTAGCTATCTTTTGGCAATGTCTCACTCAACGATCTGTAACCGAAATCGCAGTGTTGAGTTCTCGTATTCTCTTCTCGAATTCAACTAAATGAGACAGTATCCTACCTGGACATGTTGCGTGTTAACTCGTTGTTGACCTCTTTAATAGCTACGTTTCACTGAACCACCCAGCGCATCCATTGATCGAATTTAGCTCGACAGTCGGTGACAAAGCAGAACTTGTTCAAGGTATCGATTTTGGCAGAGTGGTCGTCTCCATGCTAAGAGTGCTTGTGATTAAGGTGGCTTATTATGCTAGAGAACGCATTACCAGCAGCCTGTTAGCGAATCTTGCCGCAGCAGCGGCACTAAAAGAGACGTGATTCCTTGGGCGTGAAAAAGTAGGCAGCTCCAGTGAGGATGTCGTTGATGTGACCCTCGAGCTAGAGCTGAGCGTACTTCCGACTCCGCCGATTTCCCATTCGTGAACACATCGCGGCCGTCTTCCGTCGGTGACAGTTTCCAGAACCCATAGAGCGCGTTATATATCAGCCTCTGGTATATCTGCGAAGCGTTGCATAACCCGAAGAGCGTGCACAACCACTCGAACAAGCAATTGCGAGTGTAGGGTAGCGAACAAAGCTTTTAGTCGGTTTGAATCGAAGGAAGTAGGTTTGAAGGTGATTGAAATTGAATTAGACAACCTAAATTACACGAAACTATTCCCCGATGTCCTACCTACAATCCTACCAAGTTCAGCTCCAAAGTCACAATATTGAGGGCGGGTAGGCACAAACAATATCATAATTTCGTTGCAGATCATGTTCACCCGTTCAACTTCACCTTGACTACTTTTCCACCAATCAAAGTAGGGTATTCCACATATTTGGCCAATCACATCACAGTATTCCATGTAGCAGCGTGTCTTTAGCAACAATGCTACAGCAACCACGTGCGAGGTAGTATCCAGTAGATAGACTGCGAAGTGCCAATCGCAACACAATCAAGGCTGAGATGAGACGTGCTCGGTCCGTCATTAGTACGACCAGAACTCTCTCGCCATGTCAATCGAACAGTACCAGAGATACTTGGCCATGTCCCCCAACAGATCGGTGACGGGTGGCATCAAATAATCCACCAATTGTGTCAGACTATTCACCAAACAATAGTCGATGCATAGGCGGATCTTGCACGCGCTGAGCAGTCCATTGATCAAGCCAGCCAGTTTCTCTCTGAACTGATTCGATATCTTCCGGACGCATTGCGCAATAGACCTTGCGTCGCCTACGTCGATGTCACATATGAGTCCCTTGACCGCAGGTGGCAATGCGTTTCCTTTGCCGATCAGCCATTTCTGCATCTTTCAGATGATCTGACCAAGTCGAACTTCCATTTCCGCAGCTTTGTCAGGTTCAACTCTTGTCGTCGCCCCATTTTGAGGTCTCTGATCTTCACTTCTGCTGTCAGCGGGATCTCGAGCAACACGGCCATCTCGGATGCCAGAACTTCTGCGAACAACTCGGATCCTTTTACAGGATCACCTCGTCGTCTGTCTCCGCATATTCAGGTATGTTTTGGAACTCCGGGCTTGCCTCCGTTTTCGTATCCGACAGTCTCGTTGTTGGGTCACCTGTGGCCTTGCGTCCCGGGTCTACAATGTCTGGTGATGGGCTTATCTATTCCGAGTCGACTGCGTCGTCTCTCACCGCTGCTGTTACTGCAAATAGAGATGATTTACGTATTGGTCGTGTTCCGACGTTCTTTCGGCTCGGCGCAGGATGGCCTTGGGTGCTTCGTACATCCGACGTTTCGTCATAGGTTGAGTGGATGGTTGGAAAATCTCTTCGTCGATGTTATCAGACATCAAGGCATACACTAGATTCTGCTATTCGTCGTATCTGCTGGACCCCAGTTGGACAAAGCCAAAGGCGCGCGGCAGGATGCCAGCAGGAGTCCACCAACCGACTGTGGTGTGGGCGTCGTCGAGCACCGTTTTGTCTCCGACGTTGGTTATGTGGAGATATGTACGACGTCCGACGCCAGCCTTGACGAATGGCGTTGCTCATGTCGATCCTCGAGTGGCTCATAGTCGACGTGTGCTTTTGTCTTGTCGGAGCGGCATGTCGAACGACTGTCCAATCTCTATTCGCATCGGGGACGTCAGTCGTATCGGATGCATCTTTGAGCCGTAGAGCGGCCTTCTCCAATTAGCTGAATGCGGACTTCATCAGGAAGACACGCAGTGCCATCTGCTGCGTCGATGCGCACACCAGCCGGCACCATGAGGTTCATCCCCAAAATCGCGTGTTGTCCGACCAAGTCTTCAACCCACAGATCCATGTAGTAGACCAAATCTCTAGCCAGGGTAACCTTGACCCGCGTTTTCCCAGGATGAAATACGTCTCATCCCTGATGCCGACGCACTCCTGCGTCAGACTTGTGTCAATTAAACAGTCTACCATATGAGCAAAGGTAACGCCCAACGTGGACACCTCAGCGCCTGTATCCAGCAACTACACTGCCTGCGATTGTTCAGCCTTTGTGATGTGTCTTTGCGAACACCAGTTTCGAAATGAGCTGGAATGGAGGGCTGATAGCCACCAAAACAACGCTCTGGGCGTAATTAGCAAGCTTCAATAAAATTTAGGAGAAATCCAGTTTGGGTTCCGTGTTTCAAAAATAATTCGGTTTGGGATCCGTCCGTTTCACGAAAGAAAATCTACCGTGTTTTGAAATTTTACAAGAATCTGTTATTCAGACGTACCCTATCCATGCTCTGGCACTATGTGTAGCCAGTAATTCCCTATATGCTCAACCCTTTGCGTACCCTGTGCCCTAAGGGTACACAAAGATCGAACTTAACTGAAGCTACTTATGTCTCTTACCAAGCACTTTTCGGTCTGCTGCTACTAACTGACAGCATTGTATGTAAATCGCATGGACTCTTACCAAGCACTTTTCGGTCTGCTGCTACTAACTGACAGCATTGTATGTAAATCGCATGGGTGTCTTGCGAGACTGCGCAACTGATGGTTCTCCCTCCTCTTCGGGCGAAGGCTCTCCAGCTTCCCCTGCGATGGGCATGCTGGAGTAGCAGGATCGGTTTCGTATTCTGGTTGAGTTTGTACGTAAAGTTTAGTGCTTTTTGCATTCGTGATTACCCCTTTTTGACCTGACGCAACGAATAAGATTGGCCATGAACTAGTGGAAGGATTTGCGTCATCAAAGAAGTTCAAACAAGCGGGTGCCGACGACTGGTTTCGACAGGCAAGTTAGTTACATTTCATATTGCCCACCAGTGTATCAGGACATGGAATATGTGTCTACGATAGCGGGTTGGTAGCTTTAGTTATCTCTGCTCATCCGAGTTGAGGATGTCACTGTACCAGCCTCTGGGCAAACACTATGATCTCATGTGGATTGTCTCCACCTTGGTGGAGACTACTAATGATATTGTTTATGCAAGTCATCCGAAAACACACACTGTACGAGCTCGGATCCCATTCGCCTGAACGTCATTTTAGAATGTTGCTAGGAGTAGCGCAGATGTCCTCCAAGCTGCATTGAGTAAGCTGCTGATTGAACCATCGGTGTAATGTGAGGACAAGACACTCACTGTTAAGTACCGGGTGAGTTAATATGTTAACAGTAAGTGTCTTGTCCTCGTCGACTTAGGGTAGCAGATCATGCATCTTAGTCAGCCACAGGGGCGCAGAACCATTTTCTCGCTTTCCGTTGCAATTTTGATGACTTAGTCGGCAGGTGCCTCCAGTTGTGTCGAGGTGGATACAGATTCACTGATTTATCTCTAGTTGTCATGCTGTAAGAGCCACAGTTTTAGCCAACACACGTTTAGTATTTATCCGCTAGACTAGCCCCACTACGCGGCGGTTGTGGCCATGGTTTGTTCGTTACCGGTTAGCTTTGTTTCGCTTCGCTCGTCGTTAAAATCTGGACATTATAGTATTTATGTATCGCACAAATTTGACTCCTGTATAACTATCCTGTCAAAATTGATACTTAACAACATTATAGTATTTATGTATCGCACAAATTTGACTCCTGTATAACTATCCTGTCAAAATTGATACTTAACACTTATTGTTTTACACCTTCCCGTTGTTTGAATTTTTCATATGAATGTTAGCACGGTATTGTGAGTAAGTTTGGCAAGATCATCATACTCATACTTGCACACACACACCTCGAACTAAGACCTTCTACCTAGTTTAATTATGAACC